ATTGTTCGAGGAATGAAAAGCAGATAATATTGATACCAAGAAACAAACATTTGGAATAGATTAAACCAAAGATACACACATACACCTGAATATCAGTGTTTTATGGCTTTAACTAATACAAATAACGAGTGGTAACTCAGCTAATCTAATAGGGAAACGTACAAACAACACATGCAATATACCAGATATATTTGTAGAGTATAATAGAGTAACGGTCTTTATGTGTGTGTGTGTTTGTGTGTGTGTGTGTGTGTGTTAGTTTACTTGGCCAGCCAGGCCCATCGGGGTCATTTACAGCTCTTTGGGACCGTGTTTGAAGTCAGATGGGGGAGATGATAGTGGGGGGGGGGACTGGTTAGAATCTCCTTGATGGCGAAGAACCATCTGGCAATTTAAACCCCCATTAAAAGTAAAGTCTCTGACCAGAACTGTAATTTATATGCAAATGTCAAAAGGCTAAAAGGGTCTCTTAAGCCATAAACACCCCAAAGATCATGCATGATTCTACGCAGACACTACAAGATGGTTCTTTAAAGAACCTTTGACTGAATGGTTCTTTGTGGACCCAAAAATGGTTCCTCTATGGCATCGCTTGAAGAATCTTTTGAAGCACCTTTATTTTTAAGAGTGTAACAATATACATACTCTTTTGGTTTCTGTACCCAATATTTAAAAAATGTACAAATGCAATAAAAGTATTGGTATCGGTACTCGGTATCGGCAAGTACCAAAAATAAAAGTATCGGTATCGGGCGAGTACTGGAAAAAGTGGTATCGGTGCATCCCTAATTACAAATAATAATAATAATAAACTCTAATATTGGCTCATATGGTACAATCCCTAATGATAACTAATAATCAAAAGGCAAGAATTATTGTTTGAAGAGACCCAAGTTCAAGTTATATGTCATTAGACTACAGTAGTTAACATTTGAAGTGGATCAAAAAAGTTAATCAAAGTTGTCCTAAGACAAGAACGCATTTTGGTTTTAGGACAACTTTGATGAAAGGTTTTGATCCACTACAAATGTTGACTACTGTACACTTTTCAGTAAACAAATAGTGTGGGTGCATGATTTGCTAGCATTTATTTAGTGATTTTTTGACTTGATTAACTTGACCTTTACCATATGGTGCTATTAAAATGAAACCTCCCACATATTTGGATTCTAGCAGGTGAGGAGACTCATGTGTAGACAGATAGCACAGGAAAAAAAAGGTACCCGTAAGGACACAGATTGCTTTCAGTAAGCAAGGCGAACTGTCATAGAACAGCAAAAAAATCCAGAGATATAGCAAAGACCTATATTTCTGTGTCCCTGTGTTTCAATTTAGACTGTACAGAAACATGTGATTGACAGATAATGATCGCCTCTGTGAAAGAGACACAGCGAAATAAGATCCTCCTCAAAATAATCATCTTATACTGGTGCATGACCCATCACAAACATATTAACACATTCAGTAAGCCCAAAAGAATCCAACAGAAGAACAGAAGCTTGATCTTTTTCTGCTTGGACGAGGCTGCTCACTTATATTATTAATATAAAATCCACCAAACAGAAAGGATGCCAGTAATATCCCTTGATATCAAATTAATCCCCATCTGCAGCCCAATGCCAGATTACTTCACAGCTTTATTCTAAGATACATGGCAGTAATAATAATAATAATAATATATATATATTATTATAAGAAGGCAGTTCTTATTTGTTCTTAGTGTTTTTGTTTTTTACCATGCATTTCTGTAGTTTCTTCAGCAAACCAGCATAATATGGTACACTAATGAGTTAAAATAGAAATGGACAAATTGAAGAATATTCCACATTCAGTCAAATTAGTTTTTATAAGCATTTGTTTTAAGTGAGCACAATTATATATTTTAATAAACTATTTTTTAACATAAAATTAACCTAGCATAAAATAGCTTTAAAATGTATTTATTTCTCTATATATTTATTTATTTCATATTGCAAGTATACCTTATGTAAAACAAATAGAACATTTATTACTTGCAGCAGTTTACCTCCTGAGGTTGACAATCAACATTTTCTGAAGGTTGTACCCTATTTCTGTGCACTTTTCATCTGTTGTATTGATGAACTGAACAGTACCATAGGAATAAAAGAGAGGCCACGCGACAGGATACATCTTAAAGAAGAAGAAGAAGAGGATGCGTCATAATCGAACATTGCGGGAAATGTGGATGAGGGTGTTTACAAATGTAAGTATTACAAACCAAAAACACGGTTCCTTATTTTGAATTCGCATTTCTTGAACTACTTTAGAGCAAATTGTTGAAAGTGTAAAGATGCTAAATGGTATAGTATAGTTGTGATGTTGCTGTAAAAACACATTTTATTATGTATAGCTAACAGGGGGCTCCAGGAAGCACGCGTACATCTCCAAAGTAGATTTACATACATTTTAAACCATATACGTACATTTTAAATTCGATTACTAAATGTCTATTTAATATCTGGTAGGAAAATCTTCGATATGAATTTCATATAAGTGTGTCTAATAGGTCCTAGATATGAAGTAGACATCTGAGTGATGTATATGTGTGTTATTGTGTAGTACAATTAATTCACTGTTGTCAGCACTGTTTGCAATAGATGAATGTAAGTAAAGTAACTAAATATAAGTCATCTATTTTATTTGTCGATTAGTACTGTTGAAAAATTGAGGAACATTTGTGTTGGATAAAAAGCTACTTACATCATCAACTAGCTCAGAATGTAAATGTAGTTTTGAGCACACAAATCTCATAGGTAACTTGACTCTTGTCTGGATGTTACAGGAACAGATGAGCACACACGTCTGCTTATCCAGCGGAGACGAGAGCGGCTAATGAAGCAATGCTGCCATCAAAGGCTTTGAGTGAGTATACTACAGAAATGAATAAAACATCTTTTAAATCTTAAGTTGTAGTTTATTTTAATTATTGTAATTTCAAACAGAGTTATCACAGCACTTTTCTGATTCTTGATTCCTGTGCATTTGCTGCAGAGCTTTTGTGGTGGAGCAGGACCTGCAAGGAAAGGTGACGGCGGCATTTGTGGGGAAAAAAGGAAAAAACCTGAAACAAAAATATAAAGTAAGATCATTCTGTTACTTCTAATACAGAAATCAAATGGCATTGTGCTGTTAAAATGACTGCTTTTGTATTGTGTTTGTGCATTTTTGTAGGATCTGAAATGTCTACAGACTGGTGTGAGCAGTGAGGATGGAGAAGTCCACAGCAGCATCCTGCTGGGCTGAAGGTTTACCTTCCAACAAGACAATGACCCTAAGCACACAGCTAAAATAATGAAGGAGTGGCTTCACAACAACTCTGTGACTGTTCTTGAATGGCCCAGCCAGAGCCCTGACTTAAACCCAATTGAGCATCTCTGGAGAGACCTAAAAATGGCTGTCCACCAACTTTTACCATCTAACCTGACAGAACTGGAGAGGATCTGCAACTTGGAGGAATGGCAGAGGATCCCCAAATCCATGTGTGAAAAACTTGTTGCATCTTTCCCAATAAGACTCATGGCTGTATTAGATCAAAAGGGAGCTTCTACTATATACTGAGCAAAGGGTCTGAATACTTAGGACCATGTGATATTTCAGTTTTTCTTTTTTAATACATCTGCAAAAATGTCAACAATTCTGTGTTTTTCTGTCAATATGGGGTGCTGTGTGTACATTAATGAGGAAAAAAATTAACTTAAATGATTTTAGCAAATGGCTGCAATATAACAAAGAGTGAAAAATTTAAGGGGGTCTGAATACTTTCCGTACCCACTGTATATATATATAATTATTGGTCAGAATTTATCATTATTATTGTTCATAAGTGTTGGGGTGGGCTAGCATTGCATTCTGGGGTAATCTTAATTTATAAGTAGTACTACTTACATTTGTCGAGTGTAAAATCTTCTCCAAAGGCGAGATCTTCTAGAAGCTGATCGACGTCTCCTTTGTGCAGATATTCCAAACATTGCAAACGCTGAGGAAAACTGTACTAGGTAGGGTTGTGGAGTTACAGATGCTGTGAGGTGTTAGTGCACCCGTCCCATCTTATCTTTTTTTTGTATTAATACTGCAGAACTTATAATTACATACAAGCTCAGGGAAAGATGGTTGTATCTTAAACAACGAACAATCATAATGACAAACAGCAGAAAACATAAATATAATGGGTTTGCATACATCATAGTATGAGATTATATACATAGAAAAAGAGGCCCAATGACATGGTTAAAAATCTTTAAATAATCATAATATTCATATAATCAATGCATCAAAATATTGCACTTCTTGTTTATAAGCCGGAGGGATGAAACAAGAGAGTTAAATTCAACAAGAAAAAGAGGAAAACAAAGGAGATTTAAGCCGGTTTTGTTTGTGGATGAAAATTTGCACATACAATACATATATTCAAGAGATAACAATTTTGGGTTATCGTAAGGAAAAATAAAATATTTAAGGATTAAACTGTGGGTCATATTAGTTGGGTTAAATATATAAAAATTCTAATCAACCCAAAATGTATTGGTTATACTACAATCACAATAAAAGGGCAGCTGTTTCTTAAACAAGACCACAAAATGAGGACATTTCATAAACATCAAAATATTTACAGAGCGATCAATTAAACCTACCACTCGTATCTTTTAAGTTGTTGTGCTTGTAACGCCGTAGATCACATGATAACGTCAACATGGCGGATGAAGTTCGGATCTCATTCATACTTAACGAGATTTGGCTGTAGAGTGCCTACTCTTTTTGCGCTCGTTAAGTAAGTACTTATTGAAATTAAGTACCTACTCATTGAGTAGGCGGTTTCGGACGCAGCCACACACACACCTCTAACAAGTCAAGTCACCTTTATTTATATAGCGCTTTTAACAATACAGATTGTGTCAAAGCAACTGAACAGCATTAATTAGGAAAATAGTGTGTCAATAATGCAAAATGACAATAGTAAACACTAATTTTTCAGTTAAAGACAGTTCATCATTGAATTCAGTGATGTCAACATCCAGCTCAGTTTAAATAGTATCTTTGCAATCATGTCAACGATATCGCTGGAAATTAAGTGTCCCCAACTAAGCAAGCCAGAGGCGACAGCGGCAAGGAACCAAAACTCCATCGGTGACAGAATGGAGAAAAAACCTTGGGAGAAACCAGGCTCAGTCGGGGGGCCAGTTCTCCTCTGACCAGACGAACCAGCAGTACAAAAAAATCAATTTAAGATGTAATAAAACAGACGATGAACAATATTAACAGCAATCATTATATGATGCAATCAAACTTATAGCAAAATGTGGTAGTTCTGTATGTTGTTTCATGGTTGGCATCATCTGAGGTCCTCTGAGGAGTTGTATCATCTCTTCTCAGGTGTTCTGGATCCAGACTGAAGCTTGTGTGAATCCTAGTTACCACGGGATGTTAATCCCGTGGCAAAAGACAGAGAAACAAATACAAACATAATTAGCGTAGCTGCTGTTCCGACCAAGCAAAATTGATTTGTTTAACCCAACTAAAGAAAAATAATGTGCATTTGATCAGATGTAACTGCAGTAAAAGATTATGAGATGCATTATTTGAATGCTTGGCCAAAGAGATGTGTCTTTAATCTAGATTTAAACAGAGAGAGTGTGTCTGAACCCTGAACGTTATCAGGAAGGCTATTCCAGAGTTTGGGAGCCAAATGCGAAAAAGCTCTACCTCCTTTTGTGGACTTTGCTATCCTAGGTACTACCAAAAGTCCAGAATTTTGCGACCTTAGGGAGCGTGATGGATTGTAGCATGGTAGAAGACTAGTTAGGTACGCAGGAGCTAACCCATTAAGGGTTATTATATTTTGTAACTGATACGGAACTTAATAGGTAGCCAGTGCAGAGACTGTAAAATTGGTGTAATAACACAAGGTCACTAGTATTTCATCGTATAAGAATGCTGTTATTGCTTCCACGTTTTTGGCTGCAGAAACAGATGTTCGATGGTGATCGGCCATGGAGAATCATTCAATGTTAGAAGGTGTACGATACCTGGAGAATTTTAAAGTATTCATTAGTATTATTAGCATTCTCACATGAATTTCCCTATGCTTGCACTGCAAATGAATGCCAAAAGCAGAAAAAAAACAGAATGCTCCCATTATTATCAAAACAGCTATGTGCAGCAGGTGCGGTCTCCCCTTCCATAATGAATGCTGTACCCATGACATTAAGAGGTTACTTCCACCTGCTCCTGTAATCTCACCGATCCTGCAGCACCTCTAATTTGAGGTCTGCACTGTTTTTCTTTTCTCCCATTTTTCTCACATTCTTGTTTTGTTTTTTTTACTCCTCCCCTGTCTCCTTATCTAAAGTTCGTCACTTTCTCAGACTTTGATGCAGCTTGGTGGAGCTCATTAGATGAGAACATGGCTTCTTCTCCAGACCGGAGGTGACAATGACGATAAACAGTATCTTATTATTCCTGTCCAGAACCCAGAGGTGAATAATATGTCTTCCACAAAGGCTATTTTCTGGCTCTTTCTCCTCATTTTCACATGGTAAACACTGGTTCTCCTTTACGGAGAACAGAGGGTAGTTTTCAGGACACATGTCTCATATGCAGATGTCGGAGTGGCCACACAAAAACCCAAGAGAAAAATATGCTAAAATTCAGAAATACCCCACAAATGAATAAGCTTTTTACAAGGTACATGCATTGTACCTCTGAGAAACTGCAAAGTGTGTTGTCTGATTTTTTGGTCTTCTCAATGGCCACTTTTGAAGTGCTTAATGTACAACAATAGATATACAAGCTGGATATGGATTGCAGAGAGCTGATTCCTACGGTGGCCGAGAGAGCTCAACGCGCTGCAACTTAAGAAGACACATGCAAATTGAAAAAACACCAGCAAATTAAGAAAACATCTTCATCAGTTTGACAACACACCCGCTGCAAATCCTCACAACACATGCAAATGAAGAAACACGCTGCAAATAGCACGGACCACAACGGAAATGTTTCATGGGGACCCCAAAAAGTGACGGACCCACATATCATGGCACTGCATTAACCTGTGGTTATTTCAAGGCATTATGGAAGGTATGATATTTCACTTTTTAGCACTTTGGTAGTATTTTAATTCCCTATTTTTAATTCATTATTTACTTAAATTCATTACTTAATGTAAAATAAAAATAATTCATTATCAGTTCAAGCACACTACTGTTCACAAGTTTAGGGTTCAATAAGTTTTTAATTGAATGAAATAAAACAAAAAAAAATTCAGCAAGGATGCATTAAATTGATAAAAAGTAACATTAATAGACATTTATAATGTTACAAAAAGATTGTAATTTCGTGCAAATTATGTTCTTTTGAACTTTGTTCATCAAGACATAAAAAATATTAAATGTAAATGTCCTTGAGCACTAAATCAGCATATGAAAGTGATTTCTCAAGGATCAAATGACACTGAAGACTGAAGTAATATTAAAATATATTAAAATAGAAGCACTTATTTCAAATTGTAATATTAGTTCACAATATAACTGTTTACTGTATTTTTGATTAAATAAATGCACCCTTGCATAAGAGACTTAACCCCAATCCCAAACCTTTGAATAGTGTATTTTGTAAATTAGTAGATTCAACTTAATATTGGCAATAGTACCAAAAATAAATAAAAAATAAAATCATAGATAATATTACCCCACTTCAACATACAACACTAATTCTACCAGAATAGGGCTTTTCAATAGCCAAATTAATGTTCTCATGATGGATGAACTGAAGCAGAAAGCAACAGAGAGAGAGGCATGCTGTGTGTGAAGTCAGATTGATCTACTACTATGATCAACAATGGCTTTTTTTTTACTTTTATTTACAGA